CCATTCCTGAATATTGTTCAAATGCCTGTTTGAGGCGTTCCAAATAATCATTGGGGTGTTCATTTTTGTTTCGTTTACAGGTATTTATTTTGGTCCAGTCTGCCTTTTTCGGGCAAATTGTGAGAACTGCCCGAACCAAAGCATTTCTCTTGTCAATAAAGTCTTGGCCAGTCCCTGGGTTTTGATCTGGCCAAGTAGAGGCAGTGTACAGACGCAGCATAGTTTCCTTGGGCAAAATGGATCGCACGAGCTGATTAATGTCAGCCCATGTTGGATTATAACAATTCTTGCACCTGGAAATCAGAGTTGTACATACTTTTTTTTTCTGCTATCTTCAAGGCCGCAGTGAGCGAAGCAGTTGCAGGAGAGTTACAAAGAACAAGCACTTTCCCTTATCTGTTCTACTGTACAGAGCCAGCAATTCCCCACAAAGCGGTTACGTCATCTTATAACTCGTATGATCAAAGTTTAAGGCATTTTTTTTTTTCTGACTCCACAGTATGTACAAACTCTGATTTCCAGGGGCAAGAAGAGAGTGTTTGTGTTTCGCTTTGTGAACTAACCTTGTCTCCCCCATAATTCCCATCCTGATAACAGCAAAGCAGTAATGAGCTAGTGTTTGTAGCTGCTTTTTCTAGCAAACTCCACTATATGATCACATGAGTTGTAAGCGACTGTTAAAAAGTATATAAGCCTCCTGATTTTGCTCTTGGGGGGGACCCCTTCCAAGTGCTTGGGAAATCCAAGTCACTTTGGGGTCCCCCCTACAGCTGTAGTTTCATTTGAATAAAAGTTTCTGCTGACCTGACCCAAAAGTACTCTGCGTGTGTTTCCACGACAAATCCCAGCAGCAAATTTTGCCCCAGCGCTGCTAATTAGCAGCACAGCACACAGTGTAACGTGCAACACATTACTGCAAGCTGCACCTGTCTGTGCATCTGGATCTGGCCCTGGGTCTTATCTGTGAGCTGGGGAGAGAAGAGGAATCCCGTGACTTAGAGAAGGGAAGCTGGGTCTCAGGAAGGGTGCGTTTGCATCCCAGGTCTTGGGGCCTAGGGGCTAGAGCAATGGACTGGGCGCCAGGATGCCTTGGTTCTGGTCCCAGCTTGAGATGGGCTAAAACGTGGAGTACCGGGAGGGAGGATCACTGGGATCTGTGGTGTGACTGTGAAGGGGGGTCCCCTCTCTCTTGTCTACAACTCACTCACCCCATCTGTAAAACAGCCACCAAGAATGATGCGTGTCCCCTCCCCTGACACCCCCCCCCCACACATACACACACACACACACACACACACACACACACACACACACACGACCTCAGGCAGTTACTTTCATGTTTAGTACAGGGGGACAGGCTGGGCTAGAAAGATGGGGCACTTCGCCTGGCACCCTGCAGACCATGATTGTTAATCCGTCCACATGTGGGGGAACCCCCTTTCCCCCACTCCTTGGTATGGCTTGTACTCACCTGGGTCTCCCATGGCCACAGGAGGGCATGTGCATGTGTGAAAGCTCTTGCAGTTATCTGCTGGCCCCTGCTGTTATTCAGCACTGGTATGGGCAAGTGATGGAGACACCAGACAGCTGGTGTTTGCAAGGAGGGGGGGGTCTTGCAAGTCCCACTTATGGCATTTATTTCTTCAACACATTCACAGCATCTCTCCCATGTCCAGCCCAGAGCAAGGGCCCTGCCCAATCCCACCAGCTGTTCCCCCACGTACTTCCACCTAAACATCGCCCTATGTGTAGGGCAAGACACTGAGTGGGGCAGGCACTGGGTAGGCATGCAGGAGCCCTGGGTCATATTCCCGACGCTCCCACCGACCTGCTGTCAGACTCCGGCTGGGCCGTCTCTCCTCTGGGCAGCCCCAGAGTGCCAAATTCCCCAGGGCAGGGACCTTCTGCCCCTGTGTCTCTCTGCTGCGGCAGCCAGCGTGATGTCCTGGCCCGCTGAGTGCCTGCAACAACGAGGCCACATTTCCCACTAGGGCCTGTCAGGCACTGCAGTAATATAAATAAGAGCAACAATAAATTAAGTCACCCCCCCCCCAGTCAGCTCACCCCATCACCCGACATGCACAGCCATCATAGTCGGTGACTTATAATAAAAGCAAGTCTTTAAAAAATCCCCCCAGCCTGGAGAACTGCTAGCACTCCCACCAGTCACCTAGCAGGGGTGGCCCAGCGTGCTGGGCTGGAGTCTCATCCAACGTGGCTCACAGTCTTGATTCGTCTACATAGAGGTGCGGCAGACCGTGGTGGGTGTAGCGGGGGTGGCAGATTACGTGCAGCCCTTGTTGCAGGAGCTAGCAGCACTCTGGCCCGCTCACCCTTGGGCCAAAATGCTCCCAGGGGCAGGGCAAAAAACAAAGCACCCCCAAGAGGGGAAAGAGATGGCCCCCACTCCCAGGAAGGAGCCTCGGTGTCAGCAGTCTGTAGGGAGTGTGCTGGCAGGGGCAGGTGGGTGGATGGATGGATCGAGGGTGCTGGGACAGGCAGGTAGGCACAGTACAGTCTGACAGTCCCCCACCCCAGGACGACCATGCCACCTTCCCATCACCTTTGCCCCTGCAACATCACCGCTTGAGCCCAGAGCTGGGGACGCCCCTATACTGGGAGCCTTGGGGACGCTGGAGCAGACCCCACCATGGGCTAGGCTGGGGCCGTGCGCTTGCGGCAGGCCTCGGGCCGCTCCTTCTTGCTGCGGCGCTGGTGGGAGATAAGGAGGCCACGACTGCGGAAGGCCTCGCCGCAGCCAGCGCAGCGGTAGACCCGCTCGGCCGCGTGCAGGCGCTGGTGCCGCGTCAGGTTGGAGTTGCGGCCAAAACTCTTGCCGCACTGGTGGCAGCGGTGGGGCTTCTCACCCGTGTGTATGCGCTGGTGGCGGGTGAGGGTGGAGCTCTGGCTGAAGCTCTTGCCGCACTGGCCGCAGAGGAAAGGGCGCTCGCCGCGGTGGATGACCTGGTGGATGAGCAGGTGGGAGTTGCGCACAAAGCTCTTCCCGCATTCGGCACAGTGGTGCGGCCGGTCTCCGCGGTGGATCCGCCGGTGACGCACGAGGTCCGAGCTGCGGCAGAAGGTCTTGGTGCATTCGGCACACTTGAACGGCCGGGGCTGGGCTTCAGGCTTCCCAGTATCGCCCACAGCAGTTTGAGTGGGTGGCTCCACCGGCTGCTGCTCTGCTGGGCTGCCGTGCTGCTGCCCTGCCCTGCGCGGGGCCCGTGAGCCTTTGCCTTTGGGTCTTCCTAGGGATGCCGCGCTGGGCCTCAAGGCTTCTGTCACCTCCAGCTGGGGGCTTGCACATGGCACGAGGTTTCTGGCCAGAACTAGGAGAGAGAAAAGCCAAGCATTAGCTGCAGGGGAAATGGCTGTGCAATGTGATGCCCTGCTCCCCACACCCGGCTTCAGATGCAGGAGGAGAATATATTTTGTATTCCATGTTTTAAATGAGTGATTCTCAACCTTTCTTGATTCAAGGCATCCCTCGTTAGACTCAAGGCGCCCCTCGGAAAATGGCAAGCTCTTATTTTTTTGTAGTGAAAAAAGGAGTGAAAACGAACAGAGCATTTCTTCTGTTGCAAAGACCTCCGAGGGACCACAGAAGGCCCGAATGGTTTTAAAACAGTGGATTCCTGTTTGACATCTCTGGGTTTATCTTGTGCATCGTGTTTGCATGCTCAACAGTGTTAATATTGAGTGTCTTCCCATGGCGCCCTTGAAGGGATTCCCAGGCACCCTGGTTGAGAATCGCTGCTTGGAATCTCATGGGTTTTGTTTTAAAGAAAACCCTGGTTGAGAATCACTGCTTGCAAATCACTTCAGCCAGTGATTTGCAAGCCAATCTGGTGATTTTGAGAAGGGGATTGTCACCTCCTGTCACAGGCAAGTTACCCCTCCCCAAAGGGGCTGTGGAAACAGAGCCAAATTGTTTTTTGGGTGTTTATGGCTTTTCCTGGGGGAAATTGCTGGGGAGTTTTGAATACCCCGCACCTCTTTTTGCTGTGCTGGGTGTGCCACTATATTCCTCCTCCCAAGTACTCTGATCCCAGAAGCAGTTCATTCTGAATCACAATGATTAGCATGCGAGAGACAAGGATTGAGAGAGACAGCGTGCGTGTCTACATGTCCATTTACACCAGCTTAAATTTATTGCACAGTAAGTTACTGATTAGTAAGCAGAAATAAGCCAGCATCTACATATGCAGGCATTAAGGCGTATTAACACTGTGCATAGACTGACTTGGGACTAACGTTCATCCCAAGTCAGTCCACACACGCAGTGTTACCACACAGTAAGGCGTCTATACGTGCATTGCTGTGCAGGAACTAATTGGGCATAAATTTGATACCTGCATCATTTGATACCTGGCATCATGCAGGTATCAAATTTATGCCCAAGTCGGCATATGTCGCCATATTTACTGCGCAGTACGGGTGTGCACGTGTAGACGTATGCCTGTACTATGCAGTAATTTCAGATACTGCACAGTAAATGTGCATGTGTAGCTGCACCTAGTTTGAAGGGAGTTGAGATGCATAGGCCAATGATTGCGCCCAGTGCTAATACGGCAACCCTGGGAAAGAACAATGCCTCAGTTTCCCTGCTCCCTACTGAATTAGCCAAGAGATCCTCATCTCAGACAACCGGGTGGGAAAACAGAAATTTGAACTTGAACTATATAAAACTCCCACACACAAAACTAGAGCCTGGAACTTGCCCCAAACCCTGAGGATGGATTTGGAGGGCCCTGAGACCACACCATCCTGTAGTGTGTATAGTGGTGTATTCCCTGCTGTACGTAGCTGCTCTCGTTAATATTGCCTGATGGATAATATTCCAATAAACCACTGTACAGGGGAAAAGCTTGCTTTGGCTTCTCTGGATAAATACAAGCCCCTAGAGACATGGTGGGTGTACCAAAATCAACGTTTTCCACAGAAAGAAAACTCTTGGGACCAACCCTATCCCATCACCCCCTCCCTTCCATCCCCTAGTCCCCAAGTTTTCCATGAAAAATAGGCTAGGTAGGAAATGCCTGTCCACCTGACATCAAAGCAAACCCTCAGGCTTAGCTAAATTCACACCAGCAACCCGTGGGCCAGTGGGCCCCACCCTGCAGCTCTGCAATCCCTTGGAAACCGCTGCAGTGACTCCAGGTTGGCAATTCCCTCCTAATTCAAAATAATTAAAAAAGGCACCTGTTTATCTTTACTAGGAGAGTTAAAAACAATTCGGTGCTATGGAATATATTCGTGTGTGCATTTCAATAGGTCGAGGGATATTATTACTCCACCTGGAAGGGAAAGGGTGCAGTGGGCAGGATTTATTTTGCTTTAGATCACTGGTTCTCAACCTTGTTTAGGCTTAAGCTACCTCTCAACAGACTTGAGGCACCCCTTGGGAAATGTCAGCTTACTTTTCAGTCAGTTTTTGTCTGCAGGAAGGTAATAAAGCAATGTTTTGCCTGCAAAAAACCATATCATGCCCGCACCAAGCCAGAATATTTTTAACATTGTGGCTTTCTATTTGGAATATCTGACTTTATCTTGTGAAACATGCTTGCACACCAAATGGTGCTAACGTTGTGTGGCACCCCACGGCACCCTTGAAAGGCTCTCAAGGCACTCCAGGGTGCCACGGCACCCGGGTTGAGAATCATGACTTTTGCTTATAATACTCCACGCAACATTTGCTTGAACTGTTAGAGCACCACACTTGAGCTAGGAATGCACTTTTCACTATTGTTATTAAATTATTCAGTTGTTATTAAATCCATTAAAAATCACAGGCCTCCAAAAATCTGTTTGCACATGTTTAGGAGACACTGGTTACAACTTGGCTGTTAAATCCACCAAAGATTCGCCCTGCGTTGATTGTGTTCCAGCACTGGTATGGGCAAGGGATGGCCATCCAAGTCCTCATAGCTCCTATCAGTGACGGTATGCTGTGTACAGGATAGCCACCAAGTGACTCTCTACCTCTCTGTGGCTGCAGGATGTGTGCGCCAATTCTCCCGTCATTGCTGGCTACGCTTCAGGAGTGCAGAAAAATACTTGGGGTTATAATGGACTGCAAGCTGATTACCAAGGATCCTGGTTTTGTCTGATAGAAAAAAAAAATCCCCAATTTTCAGATATAAAAAAAGTAACCCCAAAATCCATATTTTCCATGATTAAAATGAAACACCACTCTACACAAACACACACATTAGTGGGTTAAAAAGTGGAGATTTTTGTTTTATCAGAGAAAATCAGGATCCCTGCAGATTACCGATCAACAGTGGCATATTGCTGCAGAAAGAAGGCTACTAGAGTATGGGTCTATATTAAGAAAGTCACCTGCAATCAAGGGGAGTGATTTGTCCACTCTGTTCAACAGTATTGAAGCCTGATGTTGTGGGAAAATGTGGAAAAACTGGCAAGAGTCCAGCAAAGAGGAAAAAAAATAACCAGAAGGGTAGAGAACATGAATTGCAAGGAAAGGTTGGAGAAACTGGGATTATATTTAATTTAGAGAAAAGACGACTGAGAGGGGTTTCCTAATGGTCTTTGAATTAAAAGATGGTTGGTGGGCCAGGAGCCCTCTTCCAGTTCTAGGTTGCTAGCTATCAAAGTCACGGTGCAAGGCACGGACGAGACCTTATCTGAAATGCTATGTGCGGTGTTGGTCAATCAGGTTGAAGAAAGAGAACTCAGGCTGGAGCAGAGGCAGAGAAGGGTGAAGGATTTTAAGTCAAAATACATCTAGGAAGTTACAACCCAAAAACAATATTAAAAGAATACTGAAATTGTTAGGAAAGGAGGTCTGTGCAGCTTTAAACTGGCTTCTTTGTGCCTCTGTATTACAATATGTTTTTTAATGCACATGACCGCAGACTGTTTTCCCCATAGTACCCCTGCCTCCTTCAGCACAGACGGGGCGCTTGCACGTGTAATGACATTTCCCCTTTCTTGCATTACTGTTTGCACGTGTGGGTTTCCCTGACGCTTTAAAAGCCTTCCTGGTGCACTAAAGACGGTTTTGAGCTCTAGGGATCAATCAGGACAGGGCAGTAAACAAGGCTGCTATCTGCAGGATGCCGGCTGCAATAGTTGCAGAAGGAGGAAGGGCACAGTGAATAAGAAAGGAGACTGCAGGGAATGAAAATCTAATGATTAAGGAAGTTGAAGCTATCCTGGGGAACTTGAGCTCTATCCCTGCCTCTGCCGCAGAGTTCCTATGTAATGCTGGTCAAGTCACATGTACCAAAGTTTTCATAAGAAATTGCTGTGTGTTCCTCATTTGCTGGGTGCCCAATACGTAGCAGCACCAGCCTGATTTGCAGAAGTGCTAATCAGTCACAGTTGAAACAAAGGTTAATTGTAGGTCTGAACTTACAAAGTACTATACAAAGACTCAATATCCTGAAAAGCTATCCCAAAATGGGGCACCTAGGATTAGTGGTGACCTCTGATCATTTTGTCCTTGATTCCTTATGCGTAAAAGGGAGGACAGTAATCCTTCCCAACTTTACAGACGTGCTGGAAAGGTACATGATGAAAGTAGCCTAGAAAACCCTATCAGGGAATGAATAGCTCTGTAGTCGGCATTCAGGTTTGGATGATGTAAAATGACTAATGCTTGGGGCCGAAAGGTGAATAAGTAGGATCAAGTAGCTTACCCATCCCATGATCACCATCCATCCTGGGGTCTGAATGAGGTAGGGGCCCTGTGGAAAACATGAAATGTGTTCATGTCACTAGAAATCATCACGATGCAGATACCTGGGGAGGCCATGGAAAGTTTGTTGTTTCAAGGCTGGGTGGGGGGACAACTATGAGCCTCCCGTTAGACTTCTGGCATAAATGCAAGCCAAAGGATTTCCAAAGGAAATCATTAATAATCATTACTCTATTTATGGGGAGAGGAGAGTTGAAATTCCCCAAGGACCAACTTCTCTCTTCAGCTTCTAGGCAGGGTCATAATAGGAGAAGAAGTGGGGCAAGAAACCTAACTGGTTTTTAAGATGCATCATGGTGGTTACAAGCAGGATTAGATGATGTGGTTACTTGTAACAGCATGGGACTGGGCTGGATCACCCAGGAGCTCCCTTCCAGTCCTGTGTCCCTAGGGAAGGAGAAAGCAAGCCTTCCTGATTCAGCTCCCCTAGAGTCTAGACCCAGCTTATTCCCTCCTTAGTCACTATCTGGCCCAATAGCCCATATCAGACCGCTACTGCCCAACCCCAGATGCCAATCCCTGCCCATTCCCAGCTGCCATCCATTGTCCCTTCACCTGCTAAAGTAAAATTCTCTGGCAAATGGATGAGTTGGGGGTAAATGTGTAGTTATTTATTTCAGGGATGTATTTGGTCGCCGTGTTGGTCTGAGACAAAAAGAAATGCAAAACTTTAGAACTCTTCGGTCAGAGATGATATCTTTTATTAGAGCAAGAAATCACAAAAAAAATAGTTATTTGACGATCATAGTTTCATAGTTTCTAGGGTCAGAAGGGACCTGAACGGATCATCAAGTCCGACCCCCTGCCCTGGGCAGGAACAAGTGCTGAGATCATAATATCCCAGCCAGATATCTATCCGACCACCTCTTGAAAATCAATAGAAAATCTCCATAGGCAAATTAGGAGGAGACAGAGTCCAACCTCTAAGTATCAAATATCAATAGAAAAATCTTAATTCTCATCCTAGGACGCATTCTCCAGACTGCAAATAATTCTGACAGTATTTTCTTCGTTTTCACACACTTCTTCATTTTTCCCCCAATTTACTCCCTGTCGTTCTCTTATTTCTTTTCTGAACTCATTTTTCAACATCTCCTTCGAAGTGTGGAGATCAAAACTAGACACTCTCTCCCTTACTGGCCTCTCTAACACTGTAGATGGAGGTAATTCAACCTCCTACTCCATATACCCCTGCATATGCATCAAAAGGTTATGCCTGCCCCCTTAGCTATACCATCAGGCAGGAAACTCATAACTAAACTGTTGATCTACTGTGGCTCCTACATCTCTCCAAAGTGCCCCTCTATTCCATATATGTGACCTAGACTTTTCACTCCTAGATGAATGGCCATGCATTTGGACTGGATATAAATACATGTTGCACAAATTAGGCCACTTGACTGATTCTGATTGCTCCATATAACAGACTTGTCCTCGTGGCTATATATCACTCTGCCGGGTTTTTTGGCGGGGGTTTTGGTGTTATCTACAAATTTTACTGCTAACAATTTTTCTACTTCCTTCCAGTTCACTGATGAAAATATCAAATAGCTTCAGGCCAAGAGCACCTCTTCAAAGACATGGCAGGCGAGAAGGGGCAGCGCCTGGACCATCTAGGCAGCACTGAGACTGGGTCTCACCCTGATGTCGCTGACGGGCAAGGTACCCACAAAGAAGGCACCAAGGCCCTACAACGCCTACCAGCGACACAGGGGCAGAGAAATATTGATTTTCTAAATTTTTTAGGGGCCCTGCGGGCTGGATAGAATGGCCTGGAGGGCCGCATTTTGTCTACCCCTGGGCTAAGACAAAAGCCACAGTTACTTCTAGCACAACAGCTTGTGAGTTCACCCAAAAAAAGAATATGCAGAACTGTTTGATGTGACCTATTTTCCACAAAACCATGTTGAGTGTTATTCATTATTCTGTCATCTCTTTTTCCCCCACTGATAACATGGCTTATTGCCCTCTCAATAATTTTGCCCAGGACAAACATCAGACTAACCAGTCTGAAAGCTCCTCAGTTCATTCTGTCTAAACTTTTTTTTTTCCAAATACTGGTTTGACCTCAGTTTTATCCCAGCCCTCTGTGGCTCCTCTAGTATGTCAGGAATTATCAGAAGAAAGAAAAAAACCCCTCAACACTTGTTCTTCCCAATCCCCCAGAGGACGGAGGAATCAGAGGGAGGGTGGTAGAGAAACAGCCTCATAGCAAACTCGAAATGCAAGCAGGAGCCAGGGGCAGGAAAAGGGGCAAAGCCGTAATAGGTGAGGGGGTGGGGAGACAGGAAAAAGAGGGTGTAGGAAGGTTAGGAAAAGGGTTAAGACGGAGAGAAGCAGGTGGGGGAGAGCAGGAACTCAGTGCTCCATTCAGTGCACAGGATGGATGATGCTCGCTGAATAGGCAGCTTTCAATGGGTCTTTTTATCCTTCCCATTCATCATTGCGGGCCCTACTGCGCACCATACAAACCACGCACTGAATGCAGAACGATCAGCTCTTCGTGGGATCTTCTGCCCTGCCCTCACTGCACATCTTCTGCACTTATAAACATCTGTGAATTTATCTGCCAAGCACTCCTCTGGGGCAGGGCATCATCACCACCCCTATTTCCACACATAGAGTGATTAAAACTAAAACAGCCAGAAAAAATGCCCACTGCATTTTTCAGAGCCTTATTGTTTTAGCGCACCCTGTATGTGCGAGCAGAGCTCCCCTTGACCTCTGCCACAGCTGAGTGCCCAGCATGTCTGGGACTCAGACCCAAGGGTCTCAACTTGGCCACCCGGACACAGAGGAAGACAAAGTGACTAAGGACTTTGACCAAGATTACAGGACTTGCCGAGCATCACGTAGGGACTTTGGTGTGGAGACGGTGGAGGGAATCCAGTTCTTGTATCCTTATCAGAGAAAAACACATCCTCCAATGTCTTTGCTCCGGTGAGCATCTAATAATGTGTGAGTGATGCTGGTTCAAATTTGGAGTCTGACGTTAATATACAACTACAAGGAACAATATGCAAAGCAGTAAGGACACCTTACACAATGCCATAGGAGACTCCCCATGCCTGAAGAAGGGGGATTGCACCCAAAAGCTTGCAAAGAACCTTTTCCTAACTACTCCATTGGTCCAATAGAAGATATCCCATCTACCCAAAGAGCCTAGCCTGACCATACCATATGGATGGGTAACATATGGTACCAGCTATGGGGTGCTGACTCCACGGTTCGTTCCAAAATAGAAAAAAAAATGACTTTTTAAAGTGTTTTTTTTTATCTCTACCAAACTCCATGATAAGAAGTCTTATGTGATCTGAAACAGGGCTGCTTAATGTGAGCACTTTAGCTCAATTAAGAACTCTAACCTATTGAATAACATTTCGAGCTTGTACCCCTGTCACATGCCCTAAGAAGTACATTTCTTCCCAAGAAATCCTTATTTAGATGGTAAAATAGCATTTATACGCTCCTCCAGACAAATGGCCTGGGAAATGTGCTGACAGTTACAGACCCAATATATCCTTCATGTTTAAAACAAGATACAAATTTAAGAATTAAAGACACCAGGCTGCAGACAGATACACAGGCAGTGAGATTTTCCCAAACTTACATTTTTTTTTGGAGAGTAATAAAGTAATGTTTTGGCCTAGAAACCTATTGATTTGGAGCACAAAAGCACAAACAACAGGAGGCCATTATTAGACTTCACAGTCTAGTATTGGTATTGGTATACCAATCGGTATTTTTTCTAGCTCTCTAATGAGATCTACAGTCATCATAGGTAGATGGTGTTGAACCCTAGTCAGACAGGATACATTCGTGCAGGAAGAATGAGAGAGGTGACTTAAATCACTATTTCTGGTCTTGTTCGTTCTAACAACTCACAGTCTGTCCTACTATAGTGAAACAGGGAACCCTAACCCTGTTACCAGAAAGCCAGCCGGTCCCTTTAAGGCCAGAACTTTCTGGGCCCAGCCTACTGGCAAGGTAGGGGTTAAAAGCTGAGCCTGGCCAGCTAGTCAGGTGACTGGAAGGGGGCGGACCAGAACTATAAAAACCCTGGGCTTGGCAGCAGTTGGAGGCAGTGGCTGAAGGGGAAGGAGATTGTGCATGTGAGCTCCATGGAGAGGCTTAGCTGCTGGTCTGGCTGCTGCGAGAAGGGAACTCTTGATGAGTCTCAGAGAAGTGGCGACAGTGCCACAGGGAGGAGCATCGCAGACGAAGCACCAAGCCACGAAGAAATGTAAGCTGGCATGTTGCCTTCTTTAATTTCTACTTTTTTTGTGTGGCTACTACCCATGGACTTACTGTTTATATATATATTTGTGGATCGAGACTGGTGGTTTGTGGTCGAGGCTGTAGGGGAGAAGGAGGCCTCATTAGTGCCTTGGGTGCAGTCATAAAAGGCCAAGGGGGCCTGGTGCACCAGTGGGTGCAGGTGTGTGCTTTTGGGCTGGGCCAGTGGGGGTGTGGGGCCGCTGCCCAGCCTTGAACTTGTGACCCGCCAGCTGTGGGGCTAGTGGATGGGTCTCTAGGCCAGAGAGCTTGGGATCCATAAGGGAAGTAAAAGGAGGGCCATGAGCCCCCAAGATTAAGGAGCTAGAGTCTCAGTGTCAAACCCTATGTGGTAGGTTTTACACTGGTAGACCTAGCTAGAGAAAGACAGGGGGCAAGACCCATGGTGGCTGAGAACCCCAACATAGGAATACAATAGGCAGTCTCCTACTTGTAAGAACATCTGTATAATATTTACATCAAGACGTGGCAGGCAGAGGAACAGTGGGAAACAAGAAGCATTAAGGGACTTCAAGGGCACTCTAACAGTGGGATACAAGAAGCATTAAGGGACTTCAAGGGCACTCCTCATAGGCTGCAGATGGCAAACACAGAAAAACAAAAACAACAACAACAAAAAATGCTGCTGGGGAGGGCAACCTGTTACATATAGTCTGTAGGTATACCTGCACACAAATAAGGGCCAAAATCAAATAGAATCCCCTGCTTTTAATTTTTGACTCCATTGCTTTATAATGCTTTATTTGATCTATTTTTTTTCATCATCATATTCTGCTCAGTTTTACTTTTTGTTTAAATTAGTAGAATGTCTGCTTTCATTGTATGCTTTTACCAGGAACCACAAACTCATTAATTTTATTACCTAATATAAAGTGGGCGCATCTACACACTCATTAATGCACCTTTAGATACTGCGCAATTAATTTAGTGCTCACTTAATAGAGCACTAACTAAATGTGCAGTAGAGTTACTGCGCTGGAGCATAGCTATTTAGTAACAGTTACTGAATATTAGCCAAATGACACTGCACAGTAGGCTATTAGCATGAGTTCTGCTGTGACACACTACTGCGCAGTGTTATTCAGCTAATATTCAGTAAGCATCTTGTGTCAACGTGCCCAATGTTACTGTTGATGTATATTAACAATGTAATATTGTATATAAAGCAATTGGGGCTCGTAGTAGAGATGATATCTTTTTATTAGACCAACATGATTTTTGCAAAAAAAAATTCTTTAATTGCAAGCTTTCAGGCACAAACACCCTTCATCAGGCATTGGAGAAAAGATTGGAACAGTTCTCCTGGGTAGAAATGATGGTTCATATTTTTTTTTTTTTTTTTCCTCCAGACCAATACAGTCTAGAGGAAGAACATTTTTTTTCTTTAGACCAATATGGCTACAACCTGGATACCTGACACATGGAAGACACTGAATTTTAGCCCTTTTCATTAAAAAAAAACAAAAAAAAAAAAAAAAAAAAAAAAAAAAAAAAAAAATGTTTGTATGTTCCCAAGCAGGAAGCAGCTGTGACCACCTGATACACTGCCCCTGTCTCTGTTTCAAGGTGACTTGTATCATCACAGATGCTTGCATATAGGTGAGAGACTCCAGACCAGCTATGAACTCACTGCCCAGAGGAGTTTTCCATCTACTGACTCCTCTATGCAATATGAACTTTCATTTCTACTTAGGAGAACTTTTTACAATCTTTTTTTTTTTTTTTCTCTGATGCCTGATGACAGATGTTTGTGCCTGAAAGCTTGCAAATAAAGGTTTTTGGGGTTGGTTTGTTTGTTTGTTTGTTTGTGCAAAAATCTTGTTGGTCTAATAAAAGTTACCATTTCTACTGTGAGTCCTGACTGCTTTTTCCTCTAGACCAATACACCTACAAACTATATATTGTATATATGCACTCTACAAAGCCTAGGAAAGGGATGCACCCCACACTACAGAGAGGGGCAAAAGTCTGTGCCAGTCTGATCCAAGGGCAAATGTTCTTCCTGACCCTAAATCTGGCAATAGGTATGACCTTGTGTGGTAGAGCAAGACTATCTACCCATGGATCTCTGGGTTTTTTGGTACTGGCAGGAGACCCAGCCTTACCAGTGGCTCATGTCCCAATGCCTCAAGGGAGGTGACTGCCACCCCCACCCCCGCAACAAGTAGCAGTCATGAGCTGAAAAAAATTCCTTTCTGGCCCCAAAAAAGCTATCGGCAAAAGCTGTGAAGTCTGGAACTACTATGCTCTAGTTCGTTTTATACTCCAATTTGGGAGCTACAGGTGGATGATTCATTGCATTCAAAAATGTGTACTTGCTCTTTCTGTTTTTTGGGTGGAGAAAATTCATAATTGTTTCAAGTAGGAACATTGGTTTTTCATTTCATTTAATGATGGAGAAGTAACCTGCCTCGGTGGTTTTATTTTGATAAATGTCATTATGTGTCTTTCAGTTTTTCTCTCTCTCATAAGATCCTCTCAGGCCACTGCATTCCCCCCAGCATCTCCATGCCAGGCACTGCAGTCCCCTCCCAGCTACTCCTAAGAAGCTCCCGCCTTGCCCCATACCCAGCTTATTACCCGTTTCCTGGAGGGGCTGGGGTTCCTCTTTGATGATACGAGTCGGTTCATACTGAGGCCCACGGGATTCACCCTGTCCTGCCTCCTCTTCCACTGGGGGCACGTGCTCAGGACGGGATGGTGGCTGCTCCAGGTGGGAGCCAGGAGATTCCCAGAATGCCCCAGGGGATGCCATCTTCTCCGAGGTCACTTCCTCGACCTTCACACGCACCATGACCTAGGGACAAGCCAAATACATCACCGCAGAGCTATGGCCTGGGAGAGTTGGGTCTGGGAACGGACATGACAGGGAATAGCCCTCGTAGGTGTGAAGAGGGGAGAGAGGACAGCAGATCTATGCCGGACCCCCGAGGATGGGTCAGGGAAGGCGGACACTGGGAGTGGTGCAAGGACACATGGATGATAACCCTGGTATAAACTGTGTGCAGTGCTCATGGTGTTGCATCACACAACTGATAGCAACACCGAGACAAACGTTAAATGAGGTGATGCTCTTGCAGCGGGGTCCTCCTAAGGTGGACCACAGTACTGCCCGGGGTCTGTGCGACTAAGAACCTAGGAATGGCTAGGCTGGATCGGCCAGAGACTCCATACCAGCTATGAACTTCTTGCCCAGAGGAGTTGTCCATCTATTGACTCTTCTGTGAAATCCTATGAAATATGAACTTTAATTTCTACTTAGGAGAACTTTTATAATTTTTCTCCAATGCCTGATGAAGGGTGTTTGTGCCTGAAACCTTGCATAGTGGGCAGGAATGGAAGAACCCACAATCTGGGGGTCAGCGGTCCCCCAGGAAGCAATGACCCTGAGTAGCTAAAGATTGGCTTGCACCCTGAGACAGAAGGGTCTCAGTATTCACTCTTAGTATCCTGGAAAGCCATCTTCCCCACCTCGTATGTTGAAACCTGCTACGCTCTTGGATTTGAATTCAATCTTGTGCTGGGAAGTTTCACGGGTTAATGGTGCCTCATGTAGAGGAATAAAAAAAAAAAAATGTGGATTTGGGCATTTCTGATGATCTGCTTTGCTCTTCTATTGAGTGTCTCTCCTAGGAGGTGCCAGGCGTGAGTCTGCCGCGCATCATAATGCAGCACTTACGGCCTCGGGGCCCCACCAAAGAGGGGATTCTAGGAAATGTAGTTTCCACCCTGTCATAGCTCTCCAGGCCAGCTGTCTATATAACCCAGGCTGGACAATCCCACCCAGGGACCCCTGCAGACTGTCCCAGGGTTCCCAGCTAGGCTGGCACATCGACTGCATAAAGAAATACCCCATCTCAATCCACAGACTGCAAAGGAGGAATGCCTATGCTCTACGGTGGTTATTTCCTATACTTCTGGGCTTTGCTGGTTGCCATATGGAGCCAGGAAGTTTTTGGCCCTCCTACTGCTACATATGTCAGGAGTTGGGATTTTTTTTTCCCCTCCTTCTTTGCCTTCCTCAGAGGTACTGGGGGTTAGCTGCAGCCAGCGCTGGAGATTTTGCTCCTGCTGGACTAAAACCCAGAGATTTCTGGCTAGAGGCTATTGCCTCTCCAGTCAGAGTCAGACCAGTTGTCATATATAGGATCAGGAAGGAATTGTACCCTATGGCCAGACTGGTATACAGTGGGCGTGTCTACACAAGACACTACTGTGCATGTATTTAGTACATATGTTAGCAAGTATTAAGTAAATGCGCAGTAACCAGGGTTATTGCACAGTAGCAATAAAGCTACCGTGCAGTAGCCTAATAATACTGAGCAGTAGCGTGTTAGCACTGTCTGTGCTGGCACGCTACTGCTCAGTCAATGTTTCCTGCAGACATGCCTACTATGGGGGATTTTGCCTTGCTCCATAGTGGGGTGCAGTGGGAAGGGAAGGGGGGCAGGGGCAGTGCGGTCCCCTTCCTTGGATCTCAAGCCTGTTTTAACAACCCTCACAGCAGCATGACCCTGGCCACTGTTGTCCCCCTCCTTTACGTGTGGCAGGCTAGCGTGCTGTGCCTTGTGGTTGTGTGTCAAGGTTGATTGCGTGGTTTTTCTAATAGGTTTATATAGGATAATTTGGATCAGGATGATCCTGCCTCTAGTGGGAAGATTGGACTAAATGACCCCCAGATGTCCCTTCCAGCCCTATTTTTCTTTGGCTCTAAGTGTTGGAGAAGCCACCCTGTCACAGCAGCCCTCCGTGGCTGATGTCCTTCTTTGTTCAACCCTGGCAACTTTCTTCCAGCATGAACATGTCTCCCTTCAGTTCCCAGCCTCATGGGGTTTTGTTCTGCCTTTGTGTGAGGATAAAGACCCCACTGGTAGCAGACACGAGTTAGATGTGGCCCCATGTAAAACGTACCTACCCGAGACATCACAGCCCCTCTTAACCTTCTCCAAGAGAAACGAGACAGACAAGAGTTGGAGAAGCCATAGGGGGTGGAGTTGTTCAGATTTGCTTGAGGGTTTAAATTTTTGCAGAGACAACCACCCCTGGGAGCATCTTCGCCTTCAAACTTTCCACCCCCTTTCCACTCTGCCTGTGGGCGGCAGCCCTCAGGACGATCGTACCCTGAGACAGGTGGGTTTTGGTATATAGTGTTAGCATCCTGGAAAGCCATCTTCCTCTCCATCTATCACAGCCTCTGTGTTTGTATACCTCCGTCACAACCCATTACCCTCCTCCTCCTCTCCAAGTCCTGACCAACCCCATACTGTCGGGCTCTGATCTTGAACAGAAGAGTCCCAGAGCTACGGTCCCCTTCCTCCAGGAGCAGGATACTCATTATCACCCATGTGTCTGTGCATGTATATTAATATATAAAAATATATCATTATCTATCTATATAGATAGATAGGAGATGTAGATAGATAGAGATATATAGAGAGGTTCCCGATCCATTGGTTGAAACCCTGTATGTTCTCAGACTCGCACTATATGTTGTGCAGGGTGGTGCCATGTGTACAACACCCCCCTGCACCCCAAACCTTGCACAGACAGCCCTCGTTGCCTCCCTGTTCTAAGGAGGACATTTCCAACCATGGATGGGGTTTGCAGCACAGCAATGGGACCTGCTATTCAACCTGTCCCATCCAGAGCCTGTGCATATAGTTGGCCCCTTCCTTCCCTCCCCACCCCTGACATGCACAGAGGTGATAAGGTTTAAAGGTCCTCACCTGCTGCTCCCATAGTCCAGCCTCTGGCTGCTCCAGCTGAAAGCCCTCTGCCAAGGCCACCGCCTCGGCGCAGGTTTCGGGGCTGCGTTCCCATACCCAGCCCTGCATCTCCTCGGGCAGGACGGCCAGGAACTGCTCAAGCACCAGCAGCTCCAGCATCTGCTCCTTGCTGCGGCGCTGGGGCTCCAGCCAGCGCTGGCACAGCTCCCGCAGGCGGCTGCAAACCTCCCGCGGCCCCTCGCCGTCCTGGTAGCGGAAGCCGCGGAAGCGCCGGCGCCGCATCTCCAGCGGGGCATCATCCCCCTTGAGGATGGCTGCCTTCACCTTCCCGTAGTCCCCGCTGTCGCTGGCCTCCAGGTTGCTGTAGGCTTGCCGGGCTTTTCCACTGAGGGCTGGTACCAGCCGTGTCACCCACTCCCCTTTGGGCCACTGGCAGGCCTCGGCCACACGCTCAAAGGTGGCCAAATAAGCTTCCATGTCTTCCCCTGGCACCAGCACAGGCAGGTGTGGGGTCACCGTGGCTGGCACAACCTCTGGAGGGGTCCATAAAGCCTGCAGCACCTCCTGCCACTGCACCTCCCAGCGCTGGGGCAGTTCATCCTGCCGCTCAGGCCTGGGCTGGTGTGGAGCTGCCCATCTCAGCAACTCCCCAATGGTCCCAGAACAGACGAGGAGGGGAAGGTTTTCGCCTTGCTCTGCTCCGTCCCCTGGCTCAGGGCCTGCCAGGTCCTGCGCCTCCATCTTCACAGGCGGCAGTGCCCCCTGCTCTAGGGGCACCTGGAGCTGGAGACCCAAATCGGTGCTTGCGCCTAGCTCAGCAGCCATTTGCATCCAAGGAGCAGCTGTGATGCAGGCCAGATCCCCTGCCCCACTTGTACACTTGCGCAGCCTCGCGGGGACATCCAACTTCTTGAGCAGCCTGCAAAAAAGCATCCTGGTTAGACGTTAAACAGTGCTATAAAAGTCTCCCAGTGCCTGACAAAGGGTTTTTGCACCCAAAACCTTGCAAACTTTTTTCCAGCTATTTAGTTGGTCTAATAAAAGATGCCACATCTACCCAAAAAACGCTGCCCGCCTATGTCCTTAGACCAACACGGCTACAACCAACAATACTGCCATAAAAGAGCTTTTTTTTTTCCTTTTAGGTTGCAAAGCCAATTGCTCACATAGCAGAAAACACCCTGGTTCATGGCTGCTCAAGCCACTTAAACTCTGCCCATTTCTGCCTCTGTTTTGTGTGCTGAATGATGCTGTGCTCTGATAGGGAAACATAAAATGGAAGCATGTAGCTGAACTCTGTAATGCCCAAAGGACTAGAGATTAAATTGCACAGGAAACTGGGAATCTAGCATTTTTTTTTAGCTGGGAATTGCACAGGAAACTGGGAATCTAGCATTTTGACTGCTTGACACATAATGTATATCAGTATACATACATGCATATTTAGGCACGCAAACGTACATGCTCCTTCTACCAAGTTGTGTTGCATGCAGTTGCCAGAGGCTTTTTATTAAGAAGGATAAAAATGAAATACATTTGCCCTCTGTGCAAGCGTCACACACCACTCCACTGGGTTTGAATTTGTACCTACAGCCCAAGAGCACAGACCGCTGCTGTGTAAGTCACAGGGAGAGCTGCTCTGGCTCATATCCAGAAAGGATATGATCCCAGGAGAGGAGCAAGGACCTCTGCATTTTGGCCTGTCCTCAGAGTGTGTGAGCATGTGCCCACTATGGCAGGAGTCTGGCACGTGTGCCACGAGTGGCACAAGCAGCCTCTGCATGTGACACATAGGGGATTGGAGAGGGGACAGACAGGACAGGGGGCAGAAAGCAGAGCAGCAGATGGAGCAGGCAAAGGGGATCGGAGTGGCATGTGGAGAGGGCATGAGTTTAATTTGTGGCATATCTGCCAAACAAGGTAAGACGATCCCAGTGCCGCACCATACACCCAGAGAGTGCCATGGTCCGTGTGCTAGGACTGGGAAGAGCG